GCAGCAAGATATGGACCTGCAGGAAGAACGACACAGGAAGAAAACGACAGTATCAGAGTTCGCATTCCACACTCAACGACGACACAGCAATTATAACAACCGACAGCAGCAACCGAAGATAGTACCTCCCTTCTGCCACATCTGCAAGACTTCAGGGCACCCGCGCACACACTGCCCGAATCGTCAGCAATCAACGGCACCACAGCGACAACTTCGACCTTCAAGCTCCCAAATGGCTTCAACACAAGCAAGTGCGACGACCACTATTCAAGCTTCAACGACTTCACCCGGACAACCTGCACAAGGAGCAAGAAATATAATCAACTGCATGACGAAGATAACCGATTCATGTACAACCGAATCACCACCACACTACTCACCGGAAGAAGAGCTTGACAACAGAACGCCTCGCCGTGAGCTACTCCAGCCGAATCCAACGTACGCCGCCATCGCTCAAAGTGAACCGTCCGGCCAAGACACCTGGTTCTTGGACAGTTGCTGCGGGCAACACATGTGCTCGTCCGGGCGTTTCGTACAACGCGAACATCGACTCCAACGGGAAGTGATCATCACGGTTGCCAACAACCAAAACCTGCGCACACGAAGACAAGGAGTGGTACAGCTTCAGTCAAGAGAAACAAATGTCATACTGCACATGTCTAAGGTACTCATCGCTGAAGGACTCGGCTACAACTTATTGAGCGTTAGCCAGTTGATGGCGAAAGGAATTCATCTGGAAGCCGACAGCACGACCCAGGAGTTCAAACTTTACCACGGGAGAGGCGGTCTCTACATCGGGAAAGCAGTGCTGAAGAACAACGTCTTCGTCCTCGACTTCGTTCCTGACCTGGGCACTGCAGACAGCGACGCCATCGTGAATTTCACTGACTGGACACACCCTCCGGATCTCGACCCCGACTTCAGCCCAGGAGGCTTCTGGTACTCGCACACCATTCCTGAAGCAGAACGAACACGAGCATTAGCAACAATTCGACAATCGGCAGCAGTAACAACATCGGCAGCAGCAACAACATCAGCAGCAGTAACAACATCGGCAGCAGCAACAACATCAGCAGCAGCAGGAACAACGACACCAGTCACAGTCGACGAAGCACCACCAACACCCGCGAAACAGCTGAATCCGACTCAACGTGAAGTCCACCGAAGCGCCAACCTCGTCGCCAGCTTTTACTCCAACTCCGACGCATATCAGCGTTCACCTGGACACCGCGCCTCTGAAGAGATCTGGCACGCACGAACAGGACATCCAAGCAACACGGTTTTGAATAACACGATAAGAGCAGGAGTCCTTGACAAAGATTCTCTACTTCTACCCGATGGCAGAGAACTCCAGAAGGCACGAGGGACTTGCCTTATATGTCCCGAAGCTGACTTACCTCATCGACCGTTTGCTTCACATCACAACCCGAGCGCTCCAGCGTACGCACCACTCGAAAAAGTCTACAGCGACATCCTCTACAATCGCGAGCCAGGACAAGTCAACTACAACTACACCATCACCTTCATCGACGCCGCCACTCGATACGTCTGGCATCGCAACCTACCCAGCCGCGACATGGCGCTCGCAGCATTCGCCGCCTGGCTACCGATAGCAGAGAGAGAGTCTGGAACACAACTGAAAAATTTCCAGTCAGACGGAGGTGGCGAGTACACCTCTCACCGCTTCAAGCAGTTCTTGGCGGAAAGGGGGATCAAGCAACTCCTCTCCCTTCCCTACGCACATCAGCAGCAAGGTGTTGCAGAACGACTGAACAGGACCCTGCAGAACAGCATGCGCAAACTATTACGTGGCATGCGGCTACCCAACCACCAGTGGCCAGCAGCAATGGACCACGCTGTCATGCTACACAACTTGTTGTCGTCGTCGTCACTCCCGAACAACGCATCACCGCATCTGCTGTGGACAGGGAAGCAGGGCAGCACGAAAATGTTACGAGTTTTCGGGTGCATGGTACAGTACAGACCCCCAGAAGCACGAGCGGGAAGATTTTCGCAACGGGCACAGTGGGGACTACACCTCGGCATTGAGAAAAATTACAACGCATGGAAAATCTTCGACGTCCACACAAAGGAAACAGTAGCAGCACGTGACGTGATCTTCTACGAAAGACTCACCCTTCAGACGTACCTCGCCAACTTGCACGAGAATCGGGACCTCACCAGTGGTTTTCGTGGTGACCGAGCCTTCGCGTCAGCAGCGGACGAAGCAGACTGGGATGAACAGAACGTCGACAACGCCTCAGAAGAAGCCGGACCTCTCCCATACTGCTCCGTCGACGTGCCCATGGATGAGGATAATCCTCGCGACAGTAACAACGCCGAAATCTTCTACCGTTTCGCCGACGATGGTTACGTAACACCTGTGACAGTCAACACCAACGAAGCAGAAAGGGTAGGGCCAAATTTCATGCCCGACCCAGAAACGGGAGACGAAGCAGCTTATCCCGAGGATCCAGAACTCCCTCGATACTCACAGACTGGGCTGCAAATCCTCGGCCTCGTCACCGCAGTCCACGGGAACACACGCAGCTCGCTTCCTAAGGAGCCTGCAACGGTTCAGCAGGCTCTGGGGGGGGAACACAGGGAGAAATGGCGTGAAGCCATGGATAGAGAACTGAAGGCATTAGAGGAACGCAACACTTGGAAGGTTGTTCCCGTAAGCGTGGCACGGAACAAAACCATCCTTACCGGGAAATGGGTCTTCCGCATCAAGACGAAAGCAGACGGCACGATCGAAAAATTCAAAGCACGCTGGGTCGTACGTGGATTCGACCAAGAGCAAGGACGAGACTTCACCGAGACCTTTGCTCCAGTCAGCCGCCACACGTCACTCCGAATTCTCCTCGCCATTGCCGCCATGAAGAAGAAGAAGTTACGGCAGATCGACGTCGCGAATGCCTTCCTCTACGCACCTGTGGATGCAGAAATCTACGTCGAGCTCCCGCACGGTTCCCACGGCGAACCCAACCGAATCTGTCAACTACTTAAGTCGCTCTACGGGATCAAGCAGGCACCGCGACTGTGGCAGCAGTACCTGCACGCCCGTCTCATCCGCATCGGCTTTAGTCAACTACCTCACGACCAAGGCATGTACCGCCTCACTAAGGGAAGCGACTACGTTCTCCTGATCGTCTACGTGGACGATCTCCTCTACATTGGGTCAACCGACGGCATCGCCACGTGGTTCGAAGGAGAGCTCCAGAAAGACCTCACGCTCACGGTCTCCTCCACCGTTACACAGTACCTCGGGCTCAACATCCGCGAAGAAGAAAACGCCATCTATCTAAGCGCCGAGAAATACGCCGACACCATCGCGAAACGCTTCAGCCTCACACCAATCGCCATCTCCACGCCCTACCGCTACACATCAGGAACCGAGAAGGAACGAACTACTCTACTCAAGCCCGCCGGCATACGCGACTATCAGAAGAAGCTCGGATGCCTGCTATTCGCCGCCGTCACCTGCCGTCCTGACTTATCCTACTCCGCAAGTCAGCTCGCCACCTATCTCAAGAAGCCTGAAGCTGAACACCTGGCGGAACTTGATCGCGCTCTCCACTACTTCGTCAGCACCGCGACGATCGGGCTAACCTACCACAAGAGCGCAGCTACACCGACTAAGCTAATCGGCTACGTCGACGCCGATCACGCCGGCGACACCGACAACAGACGCTCACGCACCGGCTATGTCTACCGCCTTGAGCCTATCGGTCCTATCTCCTGGCAGTCGAGCAAGCAGGAGTTAATCGCACTATCTTCAGCAGAAGCAGAATATATTGCACTCTGCTCAGCCACCAAAGAGGGACTTTACCTTCGCGAACTACTGGAAGAAGCGAAGCTAGCCGAGTTACCCAGCTTCACCGTGTTCTGCGACAACCAGTCAGCAATTCGCATCGCCAACAAAAACGGCTTCGCAAACAGGACGAAACACATCGCCCTGCGCTATTTCTTCGTGAAGGACGAGATAGAAAAAGGGAAACTCGATCTGTCATACTGTCCAACATCCGAGATGGCAGCCGATTACTTGACCAAGAAACTCGGCAAGCAGAAGTTCGAATACTGCATGATGCTGACTGGACAAGGCCACGTCACCAGCAGTAACACTCCAGAAGCGAAGGGGAGTGTTGGAAACAATAAGTCCTAAGTGCGCTTCTGTCGTATCAAAATCCAAGGTACCAAGCGAAGCAGTCCCAATCGAAGCATCGAGTCAACCTCGGAGGTTAGGGTAACCGCCTGGAGGTTACGAGAAAGTCAAAGGTCGCTGACCTTTGACTCGACAATTACAGCGCGACAGTTAAGGACACACAACTGACTCGTTACAGAGCAGTTGCCCGAGTCGCGCTATATCGAACCGCAACAGCAATACAGTTATCTATCTATTCCCTGTACTCTTATATAAATCCTTGTATTTGCTTGTTTAATTCAATCAACTTTGCTCTCACACACCAGTGCAAGGTCGGTTCAAATTCTTCACTAAACGCTTCCGCTATTACAACTACTTCACCTAGAGTTATCCCTTGCAAAGATCCTAAGGGGCTATCTCAGCCCAACAACTACTAAGACTTCATTGTCTTCTCTTGACTTAGCAGACTTATCATATCCACTTCGATCCAGGTTTCATCAACAAAACAGACCCGGGAGTCGTATGTGATGGGGGGTCCTATATCCGGGAGATTAGGGGTATATATGACGGATTCAAGTCAATGCTCCTAGAGTGTGGGACAATCTGTAGATTGTCGAATCAGTTTCAGTTTCGTTCATTCAAGTCATTCATTACCACGGTCGCTAGAAAGCCTCTCGGGGCGGGGTCGCGAAGGGTGGTAGTCAGACCAAACTGGTGGAACCTGTTTTTTGCAATTTCAAGTTCATGAATATTTAACTTGAAATCCAACCACCCTACCCTGTGCTTGTGCTTTCAAGTTACAACTCCATTGCAAGACCCCTCTATCACCTGCCTCAACACTGTCCCTCCCACACAGCTAAGGACCCATGACATCGAAGCGAGCAGCGAGTGCAAGCTCCTCGGATCGCTGCACCACGAAGTGCAGCTTGGCCACGACCTCCAGCAGCAGCGCCGCCACCTTGACAAGCGACAGCGCTGCGATGCGCTCCACCGTGCGGTCCCACGCGCCGCCCATCGACGCCTGCCGCTGCAGCAGCTCCTGCCGCCACTCCGCCACCGACGGCTTCTTCCGCCCCATGCCGCCCACACTCCCCGTGCCGCCCACACTCCCAGTGCCGCCCACACTCCCCGTGCCGCCCACACTCCCCATGCCGCCCACACTCCCCGTGCCGCCCACACCGCCCGTGCCGCCCGCCGATCCTCCTGCGTCGCCCGAGCCTCCGGCACCAGCCGGTCCCCATGTGGCAGCATAGCCGGCCAGCCCCTCTGCGAGAGACATTTCTGACGGCGTCAGTGCGCCCATCATTCCCACCGCTGCTGCCGCCGCTGTGGTGAGTGGTGGTGCATGCGGGTCAGGTGCGGCGGTGGTGGGGGAGGGCGAGAGGCCGTGCGGGTGGCGGGGGGAGAGGCAGAGGGGACTGCCTGGGCGGGACAGCCTGGATGAGTGGAGGAAAACAGGGAAGTGGAGAGAAAATAGTGGGGATTCAGGCAGCAGTGGTGGAAGAGGGAAGAACGAATGAAAATTCTCACAACACTTTCCTCTTGAAGGTTGTCACAATTGTATCGCACTCCCCTTATGCCCGCACTCCCCTCATGCCCGCATGCCTCACCTCTGTGCTCTGGGCGAAGCGGATTCCACCACCCCTTTCTGCCGTTTCCCCTCCTCTCCCTCGCCATTGCCCACCTCCTCCCCACCCATATCAATGCAGCTCTTCACCACCGCCTCCCCATCCTCCGCCCATCCCCCATCCTCGCCCCCCTCGCCCCCCTCGTCCCCCCCATGCACCACCAGTCTGTCAAACGCGACCTCGTCCCCCCCAGCGCCCCCACCCCCCCCAACGCTCCCCCCTCCGGCCTCGGAGAGGCGGGAGAGCGCAAAGGGGCGGTGGGCGAGGGAGGGCGGCGGCAGCATGAGGATGAGGCTGATGTGCTTCGACAGCCGGTGCTGCAGCTTCATGGCAGCTTCCTCCGCACGGAACAGCGAGTCGGGCGGCCCCGCCCACGAGAAGGAGCGCACGGACTGTGCCAGGTAGGCCAGCGTGCTGGGGGGCGGGATGGGGGGACGCAGGACGAGGGGTGGGACAGCGTGGGGAGCAGAGGAGGGTCGGGCGATGGCAGTCATCTCACCTGCTGCACTCGTGGGCGATGGCAGTCATCTCACCTGCTGCACTCGTGGGCGATGGCAGTCATCTCACCTGCTGCACTCGTGGGCGATGGCAGTCATCTCACCTGCTGCACTTGTGGGCGATGGCAGTCATCTCACCTGCTGCACTCGTGGGCGATGGCAGTCATCTCACCTGCTGCACTCGTGGGCAATGGCAGTCATCTCACCTGCTGCACTCGTGGGCGATGGCAGTCATCTCACCTGCTGCACTCGTGGGCGATGGCAGTCATCTCACCTGCTGCACTCGTGGGCGATGGCAGTCATCTCACCTGCTGCACTCGTGGGCGATGGCAGTCATCTCACCTGCTGCACTCGTGGGCGATGGCAGTCATCTCACCTGCTGCACTCGTGGGCGATGGCAGTCATCTCACCTGCTGCACTCGTGGGCGATGGCAGTCATCTCACCTGCTGCACTCGTGGGCGATGGCAGTCATCTCGCGCCCCACCAGCCGTCGCAGCACCAGCGGCGCCTGGATCTCCGCCCGCAGACTGGAGTCCAGCGCGATGACGTCATACACCAGGCAGCGCAGGGTATCGCTGACGTCATCGTAGAGCTGCCATGGATAGCCCGCGAAGAAGCGCCCATGCGGCGGCTCGAAGAGGAGTGCTGCCAGCTGGGAGGAGGGGGAGGGGGGAAAGGGGTGTTTGCTTGGTATGTGGCAGGATTGGGGTGAATCGAGGAAGGTGTCACGAGGTGGGTCAACAGGGATGACAGTTAGACACAAGGGAAGTGGGGGTGGTAAAGATGGGTGAAGCAAGGGTCGGGAAAGCAGGGGTGGGAGAAAGGGTGTGGGAAGCAAGGGTGTGGGAAGCAAGGGTGTGGGAAGCAAGGGTGTGGGAAGCAAGGGTGTGGGAAGCAAGGGTGTGGGAAGCAAGGGTGTGGGAAGCAAGGGTGTGGGAAGCAAGGGTGTGGGAAGCAAGGGTGTGGGAAGCAAGGGTGTGGGAAGCAAGGGTGTGGGAAGCAAGGGTGTGGGAAGCAAGGGTGTGGGAAGGAAGGGTGGGATGCAGCACAGCATGGCTTGCGGAGGGGGGGAAGGCGAGCGGCACTGACGTGTTTGTCGACCTCAGCATCGCTCATGACTATGGCATGGTACATCTCGCGCAGCTTGTCCCCCCCACTGCCGTCCCCCACGCCTCCTTGCGCGCCCGTCCCGCCCGCCACCCCTGTGCGCATGCTCCACAGCGTGGGCACGTGCCGCCACACCGTGCCGCGCTCGTACTCCTCCACACACCTGCCAACCGCACCGTGGCACGGAATAAGAGGGATCAGCCTTGTGTGACTCACAGCCATGCTGCGACGGATGAGCAGTCGAAGTAGAGAGAAACGGCGAATGAGAAGGCTGTGTGCATCATGGTGGAGGGCCCACCACTGTTGCATCATGGTGGAGGGCCCACCACTGTTGCATCATGGTGGAGGGCCCACCACTGTTGCACCTCAACATGATTGCTCCGCTTGTCCTCCTCTCGCAGAGTGCCACGGTTCACCACTGCCCTCCCATGTGTTCGTCTGTGCAGCCTCCACCCACTCTCCAACATGTCTCCGCCTTGCTTAGAATTGAGACTGAAGCTTGATTAAGAGAACCAAGCATCCCTTACTTGAAGCCCAACACAATAAATCCTTTCCTGTTCATCAGCTGAACAGGAAAGACATCACGACTGCTGCAGCCTTGCTGCTCCATTCACCAAGGTCATCGAATAGACGTGTTTATGGTGACTCTAGCCCTTTAAATTTGGGGCCGTCATGCCCACCATTCAGACTAAGGTTTTCCCACAAGCATCATCCTTGTGAGAGAAATATTCGCACCAGGAGAGCAGAGTGGCGGCGGATTCGAAGTTTTTGGAGAGCAGTGCGTGCAGCGTGTCCCCGGCGTAGGCGGGGAAGAGAGCGAGGTTGATGAGCGCCGCGATGAGGAAGCCCAGCAGAATCATGGAGAAGCGCGCGAGCGGCAGGAGCAGCTTCTCGGGGTTGCGGTACGTGGAGAGCAGCAGGATGTGGAAGGTGAGCATCATTATCGTCATCGCGTACGTCCACCTGTGCGGGGCGGGGGGGGAGAGGGAGAGGGGGGGGGGGTTGAAGAGGGGATGATGCATGGAACGGAAGGGTGGGTGGGGGAAGGGAGAGTGGGAAAGAGGGGATGGTACGTGGAGAGCAGCAGTATGTGGAAGGTGAGCATCATTATTGTCACTGCGTACGTCCACCTGTGTGGGATGGAAAGAGGAGTGGGGGTGGGAAAGGGGGAGAGAGGGGGGGGAGTGAATGGGGTGGTAGTAAGGGAGACGGATGGGGTAGCGGGGAAGCTAAGAGGAGATGGACGGGGCGAGTGGAGTGCATATGAGAGGAGGAGCAGCTGAGGCGGGGGGTAAGGCATGGCAGGGATGCACTGGTGCAGGGGCGGAGCAGCGGGAGTGGGGCTGACGGATCGGCAGAAGGGCGGGAGGGAGAGGGCGTTGGGGAGGCAGATACAGCGGGGGTTCGAGAAACGACAGGGCATGAGAGAGCGGGCGCGGTGAGGAGAAGAGAAAGGGGAGGGACGGGTGGGAGGGGTGGAAGGGGTGGGAGGGAAGAGTAGTGTGTGAGTATGCATGGAGGTGAAGGTGTGAGTATGCATGGAGGTGAAGGTGTGAGTAGGCAGGGACGAGGAGGGTGTGGAAGGTGAGGTGCGTGTGTGCACATGGGAGAGGGGAATGGCGTGACACGCACACACGTGCGGACCTCCACAGCTGTTGCATGGGCATACTTGTGGGAGAGAAGGTCTGGAGGAGAAAGAGGTTGAGCAACACAAGGGAAGCACACAACACAACGCAACGCAGAGGTACTGCCCGCCCAGGTGGTCCACACGGGCACAAAGCACCGCCACGCGCACCGGCTGTGGGCTCCACCCACCTCCCCCTTTCTTCCCTACCAGCCTGCCAGGCCAGCCCCCCTTCACACCCCTTTCTTCTCCTTCCCACCCCTCCCAATCCCCCTCCAACCCACCCAAGAAACACCTGTCTTTGAAGGGGGGCCGGTTGCGGTAGTAGATGGGGAGGGCGGCGCTGAGGAAGACGAGCAGCAGCAGCACGGCCACGTGCAGCCCCCCCATGAGCGACACCACGTGCGTCACCGCCAGCGCTGCTGCCCCTGCCAGTAGCGTGCCCAGCACTCGGTTCACACCCTTGCTGCCACACGAGAGACGAGAGGGGAAGTGGGGACGGCACGGGCGGCAGGGGGGGGCAGGAGGGGGTAGGCATGGCACGGAGGAGATGTACGAGTTGAAGAAAACCAGCCCCTGTCTACTCAAGGTTGGTGAGTGAGGCAGGTCAAGATTGGTGAGTGAGGCAGGTCAAGGTTGGTGAGTGAGGCAGGTCAAGGTTGGTGAGCGAGGCAGGTCAACCTCATGAGCAAGTTCCTCATCGGAGCAGCGGGCTCACCCGAGGGAGAGGCCGATGTTGGCTTCAAAGACGAGGTCGACGGTGACAACAGCCCACACGCCGATGGAGGCGAGCGATGGCAAGCGGCCGTCCACGTCCACCACGCACAGCGCCGCCGTGAGCGCCGCCGCCCCGCCGCCCTTGAGCGCCAGCAGCACCAGCTTGGGGTTCGCCCTCGCGTCGTCCAGCTGGCGGGTGAGTAAGGCGGCGGTGCAGGCAGGCAGGCGGAGGAGCGACGCGAGGAAGAGGTGGAATATGGTGACTGGATGGAGGGGTGGGAAGGAGGGTAGGGGGAGGGGAAGGAGGAGGAAGAAGGGCGTTGTTTGGTGGCAGCAGCGTACGTGTGGTGAGGCTCTGCTGAGCGTGAAGCAGTTGGTGGGGGATGAGGGGGGGCGGTGATGGTGGGGAAAGGCAAGCTAAGGCAAACTACGGAGGGTGGCGGAATAGTGGGAGGGGAAGGGAGGAGCGGTAGGGGGAAGTAGCGGAAGGGAAGAGGTGAAGAACAGGGGGGGTGATGAATGGCGTGGGCACCAACTCGACATCGTGCCACGTCACACACCACCCACGCCACGGCACGGCACAGCACGCCATATCACATGAAGCCATTGACATGTGAGTCAACACCATGCTGCGTGCCACCACGCTGCCTTGCACCCACCCCATACAGCATTGCACCTGTGATCCCCCACCCCATCCATGCCCATGCTACCCAATCCCCCTACACTATCCCATGCCATCCCATGTCATCCCACGCCACACCATGCCATGTCCCATCCCGTCTTACCAATGCCATGCCAAACAGCATGCAACCAGCCCACGATGCTGCCCACTGCGCCTCTCGCCTCCTCCCCACCCGCGCTCCCTCTCGCCCCTTCTGCGCCCCCCTCGGTCCACTCGCTTTCCCCCCTCATGCTGTGGAACCTCGTGTCGTCCAAAGCCAGAGCGGTGGAGTGCGATGAGTCAGTGCTGAGTGCGGTGCTGTGCTGCCGGCCATAGTGGTACGACGATGTCGACCGCAGCAACGCCTGCCACCGTCGCTCCCGCGCACTGCTGCTCTCCCCCACCCCCCCTAACTCCCCCACCCCTCCCATTCCCCCCACCCCTCCCATTCCCCCCACCTCGCCCGTTGCCCGCCTACTGCCCTCCCCACCCGCTTCCCTCTGCTCGCCGCCCAACCCCCCACCACCCGCGCCCCGCACGGCGCGCCCTTCCGTGCTCGCGCACCCCTGGCTGCTGCTGCCGCGGCTGCTACCCGCATAATGCCCGCCCTCGGAAATCGCCCCATCCGCTTCTTTCCCCGCACTCGCTGGGGTCGCGTCGCCCACGTTGCCATGCTCGCCGTCGCTGTCGCTGTCGTCGTCCGCGATTCGCCAGAGTTTTTTTCGCACAGGGCCTTTCGGCGTTCCTGATTCGCCCTCGGCAATCTCCCCCTCCCTGCCTCCCGCCGCTGCACTCCCCACGCCCGCTCCGGATCCGCCATTCTCGCCGGCATCCACACTTGAGACCCCTACGACTTGCGCAATTTGTCCCTCTCCGCCTCCCCCTCCCCCTCCCCCTGCAGCCGATTCCGCCAGCGCCGCCAGCCCCAAGCCAGAGCCGCTATGATCCCCCCTGGCTGCGGCGATCAGCGCCGAAGGGAGAGCGGGCGCGCCTGCGACGCCTGCGACGCCGACGACGCCGCCGGCGACACCCGCGACGCCGGCCTGCACGAAGGGCGTGGAGTAGACGGCGCGCGGCGGCACGACGGCAACGGTGATGTGCTCCGCCGACGGCGACGCGGCGCTGCGCCCCGCCGCAGCGGGCAGCGCGGCGATCGCGTGAGACGCGGCGGGCGGAGAGGACGGCGCGTTGGGAAGCAGCGGCGCGGCGAGATCGTCGTCATTGCCGCGGTGCGGCATGGCGGAATGGCCGGGAGTGACGCGGTGGATTCGCGTTCTTGACTAGTAAATTTGTTTGCCTGATAAAGTGTGAGTCGTGATCCGTTCACTCTTAGTGACACAGTGTGGCTTGAAAGGTTGCCTCACTTCCAAGTGCTGGGATCATTTTTCGGCGGCAAAACACCCTCGAGCTTCGGTTACCAACTTGGCATCTCGCATCCAATCAGCAACAGGAAGCCGTAATCGGCATCTCCCGAGTTACTTTGTAGCACTGCTGTCAACTGTCGTTGAAATAGAAGCTTCTCTGATTTCTGCGGCAATCGCGATCACCTGGTAATCCAATCCGTTTCCAGCGTCAGAACCACGTTACCCTGTTACGCCGTCGTCGATGGACCCACAATTGCACCCACTCGGCACTACTTGTAGGCGAAGCCTTTCTGGATTTGCAGGTCGTTACCACGCTTGATGCTGTTTTGCGAACCTTATCCGTTTCCCCTCCCCACCCACAGAACCCACCAGCGCCGTCCACTTTCCTTGCTCTCATCCGCTTTCACCACTGCACCTGCTACTACGTGTCACGTAACTACACGTTCGTGGTCTCGCGACGCACAATCGTTGAAAGATCCGCGAGGTACGGCCGAATCTCACCATTTGCCTTGCGACTATCGCTCTCACGAGCATATCGCCCTCATACGCCTATCAATTCTCTCGGCCCTTTCACGTCGGCTTGGCCTTGATTCCGCCCATTCGCATCGCCGCTTCTGTCACGCGTGCTCATGTCCCGCTTGCCCCCCATGTCCCGCTTGCCCCCCATGCCCCGCTTGCCCCCCATGCCCCGCTTGCCCCCCATGCCCCGCTTGCCCCCCATGCCCCGCTTGCCCCCCATGCCCCGCTTGCCCCCCATGCCCCACGCGCAGCACTCCTGATCACCTCAAGCGTGTCCGTCGCCGCATCGGGCCGCACGAGCCTCTTGCAAGGCGGAAGGCGAGGGGCGGAGAGACGCAGGTGGGCGCGAGCGGGTGCGCGCGGACGTGCGGGGAGGGCGGGGCGTGGTCGGTGAGTGAGGCGGCGACGGGGCAGCAGCGCAGCACTTTTTGAGGATTCTCAAGAGCGTGTGGGGCGGGCAGCAGGGCAGCAGAGCAGAGCAGCGCGGGTTGTGAGTGGAGTGGAGTGGGGAGAGGCATCGGCATGGCGGAGGCGGCAGACTACGTGGTGCCGGCCATCGCCATCACGGCCGCCACGGCGCTCACCTTCATTGCCGTCAGCTTCAACGAGCTGCGCGAGGTGCGCTCTGTGCTGCCATGCCGTGTGGCGGGATGAGTGTGGAGGCTGTGATGAGATGCGGCGTGGTGGGATGCGGTGTGGTGGGATGTGAAGCGGTGGATTGGTTGGTGCGGTGGGTTGGTGGGTGCGGTGGGGGGGGGGGGGGGGGGGGGGGGGATGCGGAGGGTTGGGGGGATGCGGAGGGTGGGGGGGATGCGGTAGGTGGGGGGGATGTGGAGGGTAAGGGGAGAGCGGCGGGTGGCATGGTCTGAGGGGTGTGGTGCCGTGAGGGGGCGGTGATGCCTGTTGTACCCTCAGCGGCCTCTGCTCCTACTTGTGCTCACCTCTGCACTGGCCCCTCTGCACTGGCCCCTCTGCACTGGCCCCTCTGCACTGGCCCCTCTGCACTGGCCCCTCTGCACTGGCCCCTGCGCCACAACCCCTGTGCCCCAACCCCTGTGCCCCAACCCCTGTGCCCCAACCCCTGTGCTCCAACCCCTGTGCCCCAACCCCTTTGCCCTCCCAACGCCTATGCCCCAACCCAACCCCTGCTGTCCCAATCGCGGCAAATCAGAAGTCGGCGGTGCAGCAGGAGTTGAAGCAGCAGGCGCGGCTGGTGGAGGAGCAGGAGGGCGTGGTGCTGCGCTCCAGCCTCTCCTCCAAGGAGAAGCGCCGCGCCAGGCAGGGCAAGAAGAAGGGCTCCTGAGCCACTATGCTGCTTGCTGTGCTGCGCGCCGCCGCCGAGTGAGTGTGGGCTCTGAGTGAGTGTGAGCTCTGAGTGAGTGTGAGCTCTGAGTGAGTGTGAGCTCTGAGTGAGTGTGGGCTCTGAGTGAGTGTGAGCTCTGAGTGAGTGTGGGCTCTGAGTGAGTGTGAGCTCTGAGTGAGTGTGAGCTCTGAGTGAGTGTGGGCTCTGAGTGAGTGTGGGCTCTGAGTGAGTGTGGGCTCTGAGTGAGTGTGGGCTCTGAGTGAGTGTGAGTGAGAGGGTGTTCCCAATGTGAGTGGTGGCTTTGCTAGTTCTCACATAGAACCATATGCGTCTGAAAACTCCAGTTTTCTCCTGCTGCTGCCGTGTGCCCGTGTAATGCATGGTTCCGTCAAACACCTTTGTCGTCCTTTCCCTGTCCACACGAGCTGCCCTCAAGCCCCTCACCACCACCACGATCACCATCCCCATCTCCATCACCACCATCCCCTTCACCATCACCATCACCATCACTATCACCATCACCATCACCATCACCATCTCCATCACCATCACCATCACCATCACCATCTCCATCACCAACCCCCGGCTGTGTGCCGTGCAGCTTATTGCTGTGCACTGCAGTGAAGCGGGGCTGGAGAAGACTCGATTCGCTTCGTTTGATCTACTTAGTAAACTCATCCACCTTGCCACTGTTATGGTGACTCTTCTGCCCGCCTCTATGGTCTCGTCTGAACGTTTCCTCCAATGCATCTCTGTCTACGTGCAAAACTGTCACCATCTGTTCAACTCGTTTTTGCCCCAGTAAGGTGGTGTGGTGGTGCTACAAACTGATAGTTGATAAGTTGTGCACTTGTGCTGTAACTTTCTTGGGGATAGTAATGACTGGAGTTGTATGTAATGGTGGAGTGGAAGCAGGCCCTCCGATGTATTTTGGGCATGGCTGGTCCATCAGTGCCGACGTTAGTAGGAAACGATGAAGAACCAGCGTCACCATGAATAAAGACCCTGATGACATTCATACCGGTAAGTGCTCTATTTTGTCATCGTCAGCAATGTACTGTCAAAATACGCGTACATGTATTTGCATGTGTTCTTGTAGGCTAGTCGGGTTGTGCTTTAGAGTGTTTGGGTTGCGACAATTCTTAACTGTATGCTCTCATTCTAGTCATTGGTTCACTAATTCACATGGTATCATGCTAGGTTGAGCCTTTAGGACCCGCGCTTCTGCCCGCCTCCCCTAGCTTACCCTAGTTGCGCCCCTCTAGTGGCACCCGTCGCGCCCCTCCTAGCGCCCCACTTATCTGCCCCGTCGCGACCTTTTCATGGCTCTGTCGCGCCCCACGCTAGCGCCCCGTGTGGCGGCCCCGTCACCCCACCCGCACCTGCCGACTCGCACCCGCCAGCACCTGTCGTGCCAACGCATGCTGCTGCTGCGCCTAGCGCCCGCGACAGCGCCGCTGCGCCTGCGCCCACACCTACCACATGCCGAGCCCACGTTGGCCGCGCCTGCCACCGCTGCTTGCGCCTGCTGCGCACGCCTTGCGCCTGCCACCACCTGCACCTGTCGCCGCCCGCGCCTGTGCCGCCGCTGCTTGCGCCTGCTGCCGCTGCTTACGCCTCCTGCGCACGCCTTGCGCCTACTGCGCACACGCCTGCGCGTGCCGCCGCCCACGCCTGACGCGACCGCGCCCACAGCTGTCCTTACCGTACCTCCACGCTCGCGCAAGCCTCGCCCACGCTGCAATGCCCGCCCTATTGCACTCACACCAGCAAATGCTGCTGCTGCGCCTGTTGCTGTGAGCCTACCGCGCGCCTGCCGTGTGCCAGCTGCTACGCGCGGACTAGGCACCTTGCCTTCACACATGCCACGCCTCTAGCAGCACCTACCGCACTGTGCCTTAGGCTGCCGCATATCGCCACTCTTGAAGTCGTGAGTTAGGGTTTAGCCCCACCTTCTGCTCCGCCAGTGGCTGTCACATCACAATACTGCGGCTATGCGGCTGCTACTGTCATGGCGTCCGAGTTCGTCCTGCGACTCGATGCGGGGGTGCATGCGGTCGACTCTGACGTGTGGCTGCTCGACATCGAGCTCCACATGCGAAGCCACCTCCAGGGTGATGTCCCCATGTACGCCCACACGTTGGGTGAGCTACCTGCCCGCTGGCGTCCTACTATTCTTGATGTCGACGCCACCTCGGAGGAGCAAAAAGAGCGCGACGCTCAGCTTGCGAACACGCTTTGGGAGTTGAGGGACGATTTAAAGCGTTTTGCTATTAGTTGCCTCTTGCCGTTGGCCGAGCGGGTGCACGTTCATCAGGCCGAAGCAGCGAAGGAGTGCTTTGATACTATTGGTCGTTAATCCACCCCCTCCTTTGGTACTCTAGGGCGTCTCCTCATGCCTTTTGACTTTCCTGATCTCTTGCGTCCTCCGTTGTTGCTGACCTCGCTACACACCTGCGCCCTCTTAATGCAAGTAGCTGTGCTGCTCTCACCCCTACCCAGCTTGATAGACAGGCTCCCCCCATGTATCTCACCCTGTATCTCCTCGCAACCCGCCTCCTTGACCACCTTGCGCCTGCTCGCGTCGACCTCCCTGCCGTGCACCCCTATGATCTCACTGTCGATTTCCTTGAGACTAGTCTCACTAAGATCGAGACCTGCCTCCACACTGTTGCCTCCACAACTAGTGCAGTTGCCCCCCTCGTCCTCGAAGGTTGCGCTCCGCTCCAGCTCCCTACCTTTGCTGCCTCTACTGTTGTTTCAGAGCTTACTACTATAGCGGAGGTTGCAGCCATTGCTGCCCCCTGTGGGCGCAGATGGTGCAGGAGTGGTCGTAGTCGTAGAAGAGGTGGATGTGCTGTTTTTTCGGGGGGTGCTGATGAGGGGAGTCCTAGTCTTGGGGTGCAGGATTGACTCAGCACCAACAGCGGCAGCAGTAGCCACCACAGCAGTAGTTGCAGGAGCATTGAATCTAGCATGACGTCTCTCAACAGCAGTGCGGACCTGCTGGCTCAGGGAGTGTTGGTCGCGGTGGCGGTGATGTCAGCTAGGCGTTGCTTGGTACCCCACCTGGGCCCTGCCAGTACCAGTTTTCTAAGAAACTAGGCAGGAATGTGTTTGACTATCGAGAGGTTTTGGTACAAGAAGGAAACCTAATGGGTTGTACCCCACAGTATCTACCCTACTACAGCCTACCCAAAACTATAACATATGTATATGTTTGACACACCCCAATAGGCAAAGTGGGGGAGAGCAAGAGGTCACAAGACCAGTCAAGGAAAGCAAAACAAGCTCAAGGTGGATCACAGCGTCACTACACACACTGAGCACAAGCAAATGGCCACAAGGCCAGTTCACATGCAGAGGTATATATGCAACAAGAACAGTACAGTGATCTCTACCTAGCAAGAACAAGCATGCAGGTATATATATATATATATATATATATGTATATATAGATCACAGTACAAGCGGAAACGTAGGCACAAGGCCCAACAAAGTACAAAAGCGCTGATGGTCACCACACGGAAGTGCCTTGGTGAATATATCAGCAGTGTTGGCCCGAGTGGCCACGTGAGCAAGGCGAAGCTGACCCCTCTGCTGCAACTCTGAAGCCAGGAAGTAACGCAGAGCGATGTGCTTCGTTCTGTGCTCCAATCTGTGCTCCTGACACAAGGCAATGGCGGCCTTGTTGTCTACGTACAAAACTAGAGGAGAACGAGGCCGCTCTCCCAGGTCGGTTAGAAGGTAGGTGAGCCAGCGTAACTCCTGTGCAGCCATGGCTGTGGCGTAGATCTCAGCCTCACAACTGGGGCTGAGAACAGAAGACGAGCGTGTAGACTGCCAAGAAACAAAGCCGGAGCCAAGGATGAAAATGTAACCCTGTGATGACCGCTGCGTAGCCTGGTCGTCAACCCAAGAAGGGTCTGAGTGCCCAGAGAGGACAACTGGACCCCACCCTCCAAGCACGAACCCCATGCCCGATGTACTGTACAAGTAGCGTAGTACCCTCTTAGCATCATCCATGTGCACCTTTCGGTGCCGACCAGTAGCCACGTAGCGAGCCAGAAGGCCAACAAGGTACGCAAGGTCAGGACGAGTGCAGGTCATCAGGTACATGAGGCAGCCCACTAGCTCTGGGTAAGTACCACTCAGCTCTACGGACTCGTCCGAAGGTGGAGCTGAGAGCGAGTGACCTGTAGCCAGAGGAGTGGCCTGTGCCGAGGACCAGGTGAAGCCGAAGCGCTGACGGACCTGCTGCACCATGTGTGACTGAGTCAAGGTGATGGTGCGGCGTGCTCTGTCCCGGGTGATCTGCAAGCAAAGGTAACTGCGCAGCTCACCCAGGTCTGTGCACGTGGGTCTCTTCTGCAGCTCCGACTTCACCAGGGCTAGAGCCTCAGTGTCAGCAGTGGCAAAGACCAACTCGTTGACGTACACGAGGATGTAGAACGGCGGGAGCGAAGTGTCGGTGCGCAGAAACAGCGTCAGGTCAGCAGTCGACGGAGTAAACCCAAGAGCCGCAAGTGTCGTCCTCAGTGTGTCGTGCCACTCATGTGGCGCCTGGCAGAGACCGTAGACCGGCTGCCAAAGGCTCCACTGGATACCAGGAGGGAACGACCCAGTGAAGCCAGGCGGGCGGCGCAGTCAGATCTCCTCATGCAGGCTGCCCTGTAAGAAAGTTGTGCTGAAGTCAAGAGAGTGAAGCTCGTAGTCACGCTGAGCGGCAACGTGCAGCAGCACCCGAAGAGTGGTCAACTTCGGGGTGGGGGAGAAGGTCTGGAAGAAGTCAACTCCCTCTCGGTGACTAAAGCCTCAAGCAATGTAACGAGCCTTGAAGACAGGAGGAGAACCTGGCGGCCGCTTCACCCGGAAAATCCACGGCCGGCCCCTACCTGCGTTCCCTGCGTCGAGGGGCGGCAGCGCGCTGCCCCTCACTCCTCCGAGTTTCCTCCAACAGAGGCTCCGCTGCAGACTCTTCACATGGACGTGTGGGGCCC